TATATATGTATATACATACATACAGACATACATACATACATACATACATACATACATACATACATACATACATTTGCACACATGTATACATGTGTATGCACATACATGTATGTAGACACGTATGCTATGTTATGTTATGTCATGTTATGCATGCCTGCACGTATGTATGCGCCTGTATGCGTATGTACGACAGACTAATTCGAAGCCCTGCCGGCCCCCCCCACCTGCACGATGACATAGACTTGGTCATGCAGGAAGAGGCGATGTAAGTCCTGCGTGGACTCGAGGGTTTCGTTCTCAGTGCCAAGGTTCTTGCTGCTGGGATCCAAAGGACGCTGCAGGGCATCCACAAATTTCCCGAAGCCCTGACACAGTCCTTCAACCTTAACTTCAAACACACTGCTCCCTATACAAGCTAGAGCCTTGTAGGACAGCTTCTTGTTTGAGCCGTCAGCCAGAAATAGCTTGAATACCCAAACGAAGACTGAAACCATCACACCCCGAAGCCCCAAACCCTCAACCTATAACCACTCCGACACCCTAAGCACTACACCTTACCTTCAACACAAGCGCAGAACTAAATCAACCAGTCAGCACATGCACGTAAACAAATCAGCGAACAAACACATACGTCAATAATCATGTCTTCAGAGACAGAGATGGAGCAGTAGTCATGATTCTGTTCATGCTAAGCATGACAATCATCACCATCCTCTTATTCGCCTCTATCCTCACCTTCACCACGATGATCATCACCATCACAGCTCGGCCGTGTCATTATCAAGCCCGTACCCGGTCCGAGAGCAACAGGCCCAGGACCATCGGTGCCGCGAGCTTTGGTGTGTGGCAAAGGGGTCCTGCCAAAGAACTTGGCCAAGGAGCTTGGCAAAGCATTTTTAAAACGTCGGGCTAAGAGCATTTGTACCGGAAATGCCCATGGAAGCAACGGTGAAACCCGTTCGTAGACAATGGCAACTACCACGAGAAACGACAAAGTCACCTGGCCCCTACCTGGGTGGTCATACCGACCACCACAGACAGACTGCTCCGAAGGGTCATCAGAAATGTGTCTGAGTTCAGTGTCCGGCGGCGCCTGAGAGCAAAATCGCCAGAGGCGGAGAGCCTCTGAATCGAAGGGGGCCCCTGCTAAGCAAAAACTTCAAGAGCCTAGACAAGCTGCGAGTCGCAAATGAATGCACAAGGGCGAGCATGTTGGCTGCGTGCAGGGCCGCACTTGAAAAATCACTGTAGATACTAATACTTGTAAAGTTGTAAAGGTGATTATTTAGGTTTCTATGTTATAAGACGCCCCACCGATGTGCGAAGTGTCGAAATGTGGTACCACCCATTGACCCTAGGAGCTGTCATCCTCCACAATGCTACGCAGCCATTTTGTAATTCGGGCTGTAGCGGGTAGCATACAATGCGAACTGTGGTCCTAGAGCGCGACGGTATCCGGCGAATTTATCTGTCAGCAAACGTTCGGTAGCTCGGGTCTATCTTGGAAAGCTACAGCTATGGGGCACAGGAGAAATTCACCCATCTCCGAATTTCCTGGACCAACTCGGCCGAAAAGTTAAGGTAGGGGCCTCGATAAACGAGCTAGGATCTTTGGATATCTTGGGGATGTTTTAGCATGGATATATAAGCACTACGAGGACAGACCATAACGCTGTTTTCGGACCCCTTGTATCACCTCATCCAGCTTCTAGGTGCTATGCTGCAGTCGCAGAGACTGGCTTAGAACTCAAAGCAAATCCGGGATTAGTACACTCCTCTCCGCCATTTAACGGAGGGATTTGTTAATCCGGGGTCTTAAGCTACTAGAGTCACTAGAGGTTTTGAATTCAATATCAAAATTAAACCCCCGAAATCTCGGGGCGCCCAGTTTTTTGTCTCCCAAAGCAAGCTGCTCCCAAGTGCACAAGTCTGGTGGCACAACTTGGAACTCTGATCTTGACAGCGAGGCTTTCTGACAAGGTTCAGGTTTTGGCCCCAAGGGTCCAAGTACTATTCTTGTAGGTACTCAGTAGGTATTTGGGCCCCAAAGGTATATACTATACTAGTACTTGGACCTTCTGGTGCTCTCCCAGTGCCAACAGACTCACCCAAACCTACTTGCAGTCTTGTAGACTGCTGGACGGCCCTCTGTTCTGCCATGCAAATGCTTACACACATTTAACAGCGTAAGGAAACGCGGACCAAATTGGTGCCAATGAGCAAAAGACTACATCGACCGATTCGCGTGAATACAATGAAACCCACGAACATGCAAACGACATAACATACCAACAAACGCACGCGCGCGCACGCACACACACACACACACGCACATACACACACACACACACATTAATGCATGCATGCATAGCTCACTGAAGATCCACATGGCTATATACACTCCTATACATTGCACAGCTGCACGTACGCACACACACACACACACAGAGAGAGATGCGGCTTGAGGACAAACGCCGTCCAACTGCCCTCCTGGAAAGGAGGCCCCGGCCCTACATGGAGCCAACGACGACTGAGCAAATAATACTCATTAATAATAGTACTAATGATACTAAATCATAAGAAAAACAAAACCACCCCCTCTGGCGCATTGTTGCCCTTTGAGGGTTCAGGGTTGGGAATTTATAGAAACGAGGTCTTAGTGGGTCTAGAATTATGGCCAAGTTGGGCCCGTTAGGGGTAATCGCGAGCCTCAAACATTGCCGAGAAAACCTACCCTGACAAGCCATAAATGAAGCCAAACCAAATTGGTTTATTTTTCTCAAGTCGTTGGCTCTTTCTGCCCCCGGAATCCTACGACGCGGAACTTCTGTCCGCAGTTTAAAACTGCAGCGGCTTGACCTAGGGGCTTGAACGAGTTGAGTAGGTCTTGGATTTTAATTTTAACGCAATACAAACTTTCAGCCGTATTCGATCCTACTCTTTCAGGCCCTTGTCTGATCGCCGATCCACTGAGGACAGCATGGGAAAAGGCACCACTCGCCGCCTCACTGAGTCCTGGCTCGCCTCTTCCAGACAGGCTGTTGGAGTTTAGACGTTCTAGGGCCTTGGGTTTACCTATAGGCCCCAAAGTAGCTCCTTTTTGGGATTACTATAGGATGCTATATATGAACCCCAAAAGGAACTACTTTAGGGCCTCGGGTTTGGGGTTTAGGGTTTTAGGGTAGAAAGGCCCTTTGAGGTTCGACGTTCTAGGGACGCATAACTGCCAGATGTGCCAGACACTCTCCAAATGTACTTGCGGCCAGTATGCATCCCAACCAACACTAATGACGCTGATGACAACAACAACAACAACAGCAACAACAACAACAACAACAACAACAACAACAACAACAATCACTACACAAATGGTAGTTTCCGAAAATAATGGATACCTTATTTTGGGGTCCTTATAATAGGGATCCTACTATTTGGGTTACTATGTGAGGGTCCCTTATTTTGGGAAGTCCCCGAATCTGACAACAAGGTTTAAAACCATCCCCTAAACCCTAAAGCGATCCGACCCTCAAATACCCTAAATCTAAGGCCAAAAGGCCCCAAAACAACCTAAACTAACAACGGTACCGAATTATGACCAACAAAGCATGATTTGGGGGTTCCTGATTATCATGAGAGTATAACAGTTGACACACCCCAAAACCCATTCTGATTATTAAGGCCTCGACATTACCCCGGCAGCCTAATCCCACCCATCGAGCACCGGCCCTTCGCGTCCTCGTGCTGTCCGGCTAGGCGTGCTTTGCTTCGTGCCAGGACGTTGCAATCTGGCACTGCGCATTTTGGGGTGAAGGGCGCAGCATGAGCTCTAACGCAAACATGGGTAAAAATGCGCTTTTGTTTGGGGGTTTATGTGGGCTTTCTGGCGAAGGGCTCTCGGCTTGCAAATTTTGTTCAATTGGGGGTCGGGTTGTGGCCGAGGCATTTTCGAAGAGTGTGCTCCTTTTTCTAGGGAGCTCGGGCACGCTGTGATGCTCACACCCACGGTCTAGAGTCCCAGAATCAAAAGAGGCCCGGAGAAGCCTTCCCCGGCTTGAACCTGCCAGCAATCGAAGGTCTGATCGACTCGCTCAAGATTCGCTACTACTACTACTACTACTACTACTACGCCTGTTGTTCTCCACAGCATAGTGGGCATAGTGATTACTTTGACAAAGCAGACGTTACAGCTGTGATTGTGTCAAAATCGTTCACGGCTGTGCTCTTTATTGTCTCGCTAATTACTGCGAAAACATAAGGACAACAGAAACGGCCTTCGCATCCACCACGAGCGGCACAAGGAACCTGTTGGGCTGAAGGATCGGGGTTTTTGAATGTCGGAAGACGATTCAGTATACATGTTGACTCCACAAGCCAAATGGGATGCAACAAAGATGGAGTCAACTTCACATTAACCAGGCAAGCTTCAAACCGAGCGACATTCAACATTTTGCCGGAATGATGGCAATATCAAGAATAGAAGCAACGGTGCCAGGTGGCATGGCCAAACAAGCACTCGCAGTACCAAACAGTGTGGCCAAAAACGCGGTAACCAAGGTAGTTATCTCAGGAAAATGTCAGCCAGAACAGCATCGCCGACAACATGAACACTGTCGTCAGCATCGACATCATCATCATCATCATCATCATCATCATCAGCATCGTCATCACGTCACCACCATCATCATTATCATGACCATGATCTCAATCATCATCGCCATCACCAATACCACCATCACCATCGCATCATACTCATCCTAATCCTCATCTTCCTCATCAACGTTCTCATCATTGTTATCACCATACTCATTGCCATCATTCTGATCCTGATGTGTGGCGTGCATCTTCACAGGAGATACCTGGAGCTTCCAAAATGCACGCACACACGCTTAAGCATAACACTGATGAAGATCATGCCCCTGTGAAAGCGCTGGGCGGTACATAGGCTTCAACACCTTATGTTTCTATGCGTTTTCGACCCAAAACCGGGGAGGAGCAGGACATGACAGGAAGGATAGGCAAAGAGTGGCGTCGCTGCAACCGAGGCACTGGTAGTCGTCAAGGAAAGGGTCTTCCATTACCCGCCTTGGGGCTCAAACTTCCGGGTCCTAGACGGACATCACCAGATATGCCGAAATGGCTCAGAGCCCTGATCTAGCCGGGAAGGGCCGCCACCAACACAAGGGGGTAGGATTTGGGGTTCCATACTCTATCAAATCAAAGGCAATCCGACTGAGCGCGTCTAGACCATGAAGCCGTGTCGTTTCCCCTAAGTGGAAAAATCTCAGACCAGCCTGCATGCCTGCAAGCTTCGCCTCCGTCGTATAAGGTACACCATGAAACCCTGTTCAACCTATCCCGCAGAGCCCTAAAACCTAAACCCCAAAACTCCTAAATCCCGAAACCCTGAACCCCTAAAACCCCTAAACCCCTAATCTCCTAAACCCCTACACGCCTGCAATCCTTTAAGGGTTCCTCTCAAGAGTTCCCTTAGACTTTAAAGGAACCAACCCTACAAAGCCCTTAGGCCTTAGGATTAAGGCCAGGGCCGGACGGCCTCCAGGGCCTCTTCGGCGCGTTCCTCTCCACGGACGTTCACTTTAGCTGCCAAAAGGGTGTTTAGGGGCTTAGGGGGTTTGGGGATTTAGGGTTTAGGGTTTGGGGTTGAGGGTTTGGGGGTTTAGGTTTAGGGCTTCTTGTTTCTTTGTGCCCAAAGAACTTTCGGGTTAACCCGTAGGTTTAGCTTAGGTGTGTTAGCAATTCAGTTGTCGCACATATCGTAGACATGTATCATGCTACAGCTACTGCGACTGTACTAGTCGTCGTCGCAGTACTAGTAGTAGTAGTAGTAGTAGTAGTAGTAGTAGTAGCAGGAGTAGTAGTAGTAGTAGTAGTAGTAGTAGTAGTAGTAGTAGGAGTCCTACTAGTACTCGTACTAGCACCAGTACTAGTACTAGTACTAGTACTAGTACTAGTACTAGTAGTACTAGTACTAGTAGCTGTACTAGTAGTAGTAGTAGTAGTAGTAGTAGTAGTACCAGTACCAGTACTAGTACTAGTACTAGTAGT